CAAGTGACATACTGACATTATGTCATACATAGAGAAAGTATATGAAAATATGTGTCACAAAGCTAAAACTGATAACATAATTACAGAATGTAAAATAAATTTCATTGTTCAGGCTCAATATAATGAACATATCAAATTGACTGTTTGTTTTTGGATTTCGTGAAAAGCTACACGAGGGCTATCTGCACTAGCCGTCCCTAATTTAGCAGTGTAAGACTAGAGGGAAGGCAGCTAGTCATCACCACCCACTGCCAACTCTTGGGCTACTCTTTTACCAATGAATAGTGGGATTGACCGTAACATTATAACGCCTCCACGGCTGAAAGGGCGAGCACGTTTGGTGTGACGGGGATTCGAACCTGTGACTCTCAGATTACGAATTGAGCGCCCTAACCACCTGGCCACGCCGGGCCTATATTATCTTGAATTACGCGTAATAAGGTACATAGTATAGTAGAGCTTGATGTGCAATATTTACACTAATCCATTCTGAATTATTCAAACACAGTATAGTATGGCATCACAGGGAAAACATTTAAAAATGAAAGTTGCAAGAAGTACATTTTTTGGTTGTAAAATAAACTCATTAAATTATCACTATTCAGCTTAAGAATAATTTAATAACATTTCACATATGTCGTAAACTTATGCTAACTCATTCCATGAACTTTATTCTTCAGTAATTATAACAGAATCCCCCCCACCCCTACTAACAAAAGTGGAATACTGAAGCATGTTTATACCCTAATGGTTGCACCTACTTCACATTATCAGTACTCTGTGTGTAGGTATTTTTCACTTGTTAAAAATGATCGACTGGATTTACAACAAACATGCTTGATAAACAGTCGCTATGATAAATATTAACCAATTAAAAACAACAAAGCTGTTTTCGTGCAAATCATATTGCACATGTCCCTGCAACACATGCCGATAAGTCTTCTATGACTCTCTACACTCTAAAAGTTTCAAAATGTCTGGCCATTTCTACCTCTTAAGTATTCCAATAGAATGCTTTCCTTGTTCCATGTAGCTATCTGTAGAGCACCAATAAATGAAAGCTTGCCAAAACAATACTGAATTGTTACATATTCTTGATATAAAAAGCTATTTCAGCTTAATAAAAATAGTCTTGAGATAAGCAAAATGGGACATCCTCAGATCAGTACTTATCCGCTGATCACTGAAAAATCTAAAAATTTACATCAATTTAAATGTACCGATTTTTCATAGAAAAATATAAAGCAAATGTGTTTAAAGTAATGAATATTTGATAAATTGTTTAGTTTCCAATTTACGTTTTGCCACAAAAATTTATATTCTAAAATATAAGTAAAATTTTGTCCAAAAATATAATTTGTGTAGTTTTAAAATTATGCAGAATCATAACTTCTTCTTTAGATACTAATTTCAGGAGAGGCAAAGGTTATAAGTGAACAAAAGTGTTACGTACGAGTTAGTAGAATAACGGTTCTAAATGCACTGAAAACAAGTGAAGCTGTGACTAACTTAATAGACTAGTGAAGGCTTAACTTACAAGTTTAGCTATCCATGTATTATTGTCATGGTTAGTCACTTATAGAATCATCTAAATATAATTATTAACGAGTTACTAATTATTTTTGAAATTACTAAACACTAATTAGTAATTACTTTTTCTGTCTGTAGGGTGGTCCTGAGAAGGCCTATTTCTGTGGCCATAGTGGCCAGGAGCTGGTGTACTATATATATCTATTTATCTGAGGTCTTCCTCATTAAGGCTTTAACAAAGTAACTTGTTGGATTGCTTTCAACTGGTTATCCAAGTTTTGCTTACTTTTATACTAGTTAGGTATATGTGAAGTCTTCTTTTATCAATCTTTTTCTTGTGTTGTGGTTCACACTTCTTGTACTGTCTTCTCTTCTGGCATAATGCTATTGCTGATAGATTGGATTATAGTCCTGTGTGTTTATTATGCTTCCAAATTTTAACTTATGTTAGTCTTTTTTTTTTTTCAACCTATTGAAGCCCACAATTGCAAGGAATATTGTAATAGATGTTTTATTTTCTCTCCATTGAAACTTCGGGTGGTTCGATGTATATTTACTGCAAGTGTATTGAGCTGTGGCTTCTGAAACTGTTCCAACTGTATGTTGTTTACATATCCTTTGTATGTTTTCAAAGAGACCTTTGACACGAAGCAATACGGCCCGTGTGTCTGTAATGAAAACAGAAGAAGAACTCCTCTTTCTAGTTACCAAGACACACTACTCAGATGGCACAAGAGTTTACAGGAAACCCACAGATAGTGGTAAATATCAATCCATCTCAACATACACTGCCTATTTTCAAGGATAAACAAGATTTATAATATCAAAATTGGTAAAAAGAAGGAAGAAATCACATCACTAAAACCCTCTTTCAGAGTATATACCTGGAACACTTTCTAATGGAAAAAATAAAAAGATAAACAACACAAAGAAGATTACAGACATGAAGCCCTATTTAACCAGGACAAGGATCCATCTGAAAACCCACACACTGAGGATATGTAAACAGCATACAGTCAAAGCAATAGAATAGAATAGAATACAATCACAGTTAGTACTAATCATACTAACTAAGGACCCAATAGATAGTAAAAAACACCATGAACAATGTCCCTTATGAATGTGGACTCCAATGCATTGGAGAAACAAAAATATCAAGAAAAGTTATAATTTAGATGCATAATTGATATAAAAGACTCTGCAATACCAATCTATCAATAAATGGATATCATGCAAGAAGAAACCATACAGTAAACTGGAATCAAACTAAAAAAAAATGAAATACGAACAATGCATGAGAAAAAGAATGATAAAAGAAGCTTTCTACGTCCACCTAACTGACAAAACACTCAGCCAACCTAATATAGATATCAGCAAAACCTGAAGAACCCTCTTGAAACCATTTAAACAAGTTAGTTGATTAAAATACTAATGGGCCTCCTCAAACAAAATCAGTCTTTCTCAGGACTTCCCTGAAGATGGCATCAGGTTAGCAACCACAATAGCATAAAAAATAAAACTAGTCAGTAATTAGTTTCTAGTAATTAGAAAAAAGTTGTATCTAATTAACAGACTTAAATGATTATTTATGATACTACTTTATAATATCCAATCACCACAACCTTATCGCAAGTACTATAAGAAACAAGAAGAAGAAACTTTTCTATTATTGTAATTTCTCGCTAACATGAACAACCTAAGTTGTTGTAATTATAAACGGAAAGTGAAAACATTTCGGGTAGCAGTCAACATCTAGCTTAGTGGCTGTTCTATCTTCATTAGAATACATAATGCTGTTTGCACCTACAGTCACTGACATTACTATACCACATAAATATATGTGCAAGTCTTAAATATTTCTAATCAATCAAGTAATCCAGCAAGCTGTAAGATGAATAAAAATATAGTTAGAAATAGTAACGAGAAAACAAGTACTTAGAACCAATTTACACAACACCAAAAAAAGGTTAAAATTTTTATGTGTTGTGTAATATTACTTTACTGGAGAGGAGAAGAATACCACTTTAAAAACACAAAATGATGTAAACGTTTTAAACAAAGTTCTTTACTGGGGAAAATATATGTAATTCTCTAAGCTTTTTAAAAGATGATTGAAGAGATCACACACACACACAATACTGAAATAACATAAACACATTATGATATTTTTAAGCTAGTGAATAAATAATTTATATCATAATTTTCACCATTAATAACTTTAAAAATAATATTTATATTAAGACACAAAATAAATTAATTAAAGCTAATTACTGAGGAATATTTTAAACTCTTTCATATGAGGCTCTGTTTATTCAAATGACAAATAAAGCTGATACACTAGTTTACAACCGGCCCTCTGTATCACAATGATTTACCTGTTACAATTCACAGCTTAAAATATCTGCAAAATAGTTTTTTTTTATCAGTTTTCAACCATAAAACCTGCACAGTTTTAATAATAAAAAAAAAATACAGCTTTCTTAGTAATTCTCACTTACAAGGGTAAAGAATCAGTTTTAAAGGTGTTCATCAGATCATTTAAAGTATTTACATTTTCCTTTCTTTATGTATAAAATTTATGAATCTTTCAGCAAAGAATGCTAAGTTTTCTTATATTTGTTTAGTTTTAGACACAAAAGTATTTATCTTAAAACAATAACTCTTTCTTTTCTAATAAATGAGATTAAAATATTGAAATTCTAGTTACTTATCACCCTGGGCAGATCTGATTTTTCTGACTAGACTAGAGACACAGTCATGATCAAAACAAAATAAAGACAGTAATATATTCTTAGAATCAAAATGGTATTAAGTCTAGTGCAAATTCAGCTCCAAGGTCAAAATCTATGAAATATCAGATCAAAATACCATTTTCAGATCTCTGTTGAGATTGAGCAAGGAATAAGTTATAAATAACAAAATAAAAACCAACATGTGTGAGTATTTTCAGAGGGTCGGCAGTATCAGCCACATGTTATTGTGCAGTCGATGTGTCAAACAAGCCACTGGTTCTCCTTTTCCTTCATTTGTGTCAGATTCTTTACATTTATTTAACAAAATAGGACAGCTTTCCTTATAAACCCTCTTCCACACTTGAGATAATATTCTTCTAATATGGTGTAAATCTATTATATCCACTTCTGTAAACAGCAGCCTAGAAAGAATGAAATAGTGAACATGCAGCAATCCAAACATTTCTCATTTATCAGTGGAAGGGCAGATGACATACTATGTTTGTAAAGTGTTTTGTTAAATATTAGGATTATTAATTTTAAAATCCTTGTTATACTGGTGATGGGTGCATGTACTGTGTATGAATGTTTTTTAAATATACTATTTACCGTGTCTTAAACATTTTGTAATGATTTTTTTCAAAAACATTGTAGATATACTATGTTACAATAATGAAATTGTTGGTTAATTGTGCTGAGCATAAAAAAGCCTGGAAAAATATTAGTGTTAACTGTACAAAGAAATAATTGTTTTAACAATGAAAGCAATGCTCAAATATACGCAGACATATGCGCTTATAAACTTTTTACAAAATTATGTACTGCATGCTATTCTAGATTTTTTATTTTAATATTATATTCACTTTCTTTCGGCATACAGCATAGTTGACTAAACATTTCAAAAAAATTAAACTAACTTACTAATTGTCTAGATTTTAAAGACTTTATCCTGGCTGATAAAATTTTATTTCTACTTTATCACTTTGTGGGATTTTTCAAACCAAATTTGTTATAAAAACAGTTTGCAATAACTTTTAAGATTTTAGATAAGGAGGAACAATAATTACATAAACACTATACCTTTCATAAATCTGTCAGCCTTTACTGCAGCTTGTATAGTAAGCAAGTTTTTTGTAATTTTGGGCTGGCCTGATGTCTTCAATTTTGTAACTTTTGTGAACTTACCCCAATGTAAAAGTCATCAAATGCTCCTAATATCTTTCATTACAAGTAATAATTTGTGAGTAATAAAAAAAAACAGACATGCAACAGAAATTGCCATTTCTGAAAACCTTATAAAGAGGATTGCAAGAAATACTTGAATTCAACTAAATTGTTTGATTAGCTCTTAGAATTACTTATTCTGTACCACCCTATGGTTAAAGTAGTCCTTATTGGTTAATAACTTTGAGTGCTCATGATAGATATTTCATAAATTTACCTGGTATCCTGCAACAGGTCCTATGCTATGCCCTAGGTAAGGATCTGTGTAATCTCGTCCATAAGTGTAGTACAAGGATGGAGTGCTAAAAACAGACCACAGTGAAATATTATACAAACTCACCAGGTATACTCCCGTACAGAGGTTTCTGAACTCTCATACAACACACTAAATGAAATAACAAATTAACTGTCTAAGGGTGAGTAACTTGTTTAAAATATCTTGCAAATAACTGTCTATGTTTAATGATTTGGATCTGGGTCTCTAAGATAATATATTTACCACAACAATTTCATTTCTTACATCGTAAAACATATAGTTATTCTTGTGTATGGTAATATAATAGTAAACTGACAAACAACGAATTACAAGCATAATGAAGTGGTTTTATATTTGGGAACATAAAAACATAAAACCAATTCATTATGCTTGTAAATCATTGTTTGTCAGTTTACTAATATATTTATTCTAATATTCCTGTGAACTGGACCAATGTTTTTTGTTTTTGCTGTGATGATCTGCATATTTCTATTGCTTAGAACCAAAGATAACACGTAATTAATTTACAATATTATTAATTTTTTTTTATTATCCTAGTCACCATTGTCTTTAGTCACTCTGTGCACAATTAGCTAAAATCTTCTACATTTAGTCTTATGTTTCTGTGTTCAGTGAAGCTTAAATGTGATTTAACTGACTTCAATCGAACCTGTTGTAATGAAAATAATTTTTGATGTGTTTTCAAAACTCATGTGGTAGAGCTTTGTCATGATAGACTAGTTGTTATTGTTAATGGATGTTGATAAATACTGAAAAGCGACTATAGCAGTAACGTGTAAAATAAAGCATTTATAAGATTAGAATGCTAAGTTTCCTCTAACGAGATTCTAAAAATGTGATAAAAACATCAAAAATAATAAATATACCATATTTTGCTCACATCTAAACAATTTAATTAAATGTACATGGGGTCGATCCATGGACTGACTCCGTACAGGAGAAAATTTTGACGATAAATTTCAAATCTCCCATGCGCATCATAACGAAATGTGACAAGCTGTTAGTAAACAATATAAGTCTGTTGTACACAAAATATCAAATACTTTAATAAAGTACTTGTACTCGAGATAAGATATATCTGTGAACTGATGAAGTCAGTCTGACTCAGATGCCGACAAGTTGGAGTGCAAGGAAACGTTCATGGGAAGAATAGAAATACATTTGTTTTGGTTTGTTTTTAAATTTCGTGCAAAGCTACACAAGGGCTATCTGCGCTAGCCATCCCTAATTTTGCAGTGTAAGACTAGAGGGAAGGCAGCTAGTCATCACCACCCTCTGCCAATTCTTGGGCTACTTTTTTACCTACGAATAGTGGGATTAATAATGGTTGGAGACGGCTTGAATGGGTAATGAAGAAAAACTTTAATATAAGTTTAACATAACAGCAAATGTACAACGTCAAAACATTGGTTCCTCATCATCGAATTTGAATAGTGGGATTATCCGTCTCATTATAACATCCTCACGACTGAAAGGGCGAGCATGTTTGGTGGGATAGGGATTCGAACCCGCGACCCACAGATTGCGAGTTGAGTGCCCTAACCACCTGGCCATGCCGGGCCTAGAAATGCTTTTGTCCATCATGAGGTTTGCATGTTGCATAACCATTACAAGTACTTAAATTCACATCTATAGTTTTTCATTATCCCTAAATATCATATTTGGCATTTCTCTCCTCTACCAGAAACTGTCGCTAAATCAGCAATGTAAGGTAATATGAATAGTTGATAACTGACATCAAATACAAAATACCGTGTTGTATGTCACTCTTTAGTAGGACGTCAATGCATGTGCACTTTAGCAATTAAACTGCAGTTAGCAACATGGCCAACTGAATATTTGTACCTATTGTGAGAAAAACGTTTACAACCTTTGTCTAGTTAACCTTTATTGTTTCTGTGCAGGAACACCTTTACAGGGTTTATACATGTAACTGAGTATGTACAAGGTAAGAAGTGTCTTTAAAAATAGTGCATCAGTTATTATACTATTTACACATGTATGAGTGGTTTTTTAAATTAATAGTGAATTACACAGAAGATCAAATCTGTAATATCATTAAAATGATTCTCAGAAAGCTAATTAAAGATGAAGGGAACTGTTGGTCCATCTAGGCAGTCTCATCCATTTCATTCAAACATTTATCAAGCCTACCCTTAAATTTACTGAAAACAATCCATTCTAAAGGCCAACCACCCGTGCTAGCCATTACTCAACCATACCATACAAAGGACGTACTGAATATGGTACACTGATTTTTACACATAAAAAATTCAATTTTGCTCTTTAAGATGACACGGTTTGTTCGTTTATCATAGATTTTTTACTTGGTGAAATACAGACACTATACTGGGGAAGCAGACATAACATCACACTGGTTGTGAAATGTAGCACCATCATTGATAATGTGAAAAAAAATAATGTAACTCAGTTATTTATATCCTAATGTTAGGCTTACGTAAACACAACTATAAAACATTATACATGAATCATTTTATCTGTATAAAGATGCTGATTTTGTGCAACTTATTGCAATTCAGAATACTGAAAAAAAAATTGTTTTACTGAAAAACATGAATTGTCTAATATCTGATAAAATATATATATATCAAAATGCTTTATAATTAAATAGCTATTTAATAAATGCTATTACCCTGCAACAGTGGCATATGATGCAACAGGCTGGGCAGCTGCAGCAGCAGCAGCAGCGGCATAACTCCGAGCAGCAGCTGCAGTGTAAGCTGCTGTAGCTGCGTATGTGGCCTGCAAAAAAAATATATAGTATTAACATATTATATTTTGATTGTCAGAAATTTTCAATATTACGAACATTATAATAAGTAATTGGAATCAGATCATCATTAAGGCATTTTTGACATTTATATGACATTTGGACAATGTGGAACATTTGATGTATCTAGCTATTTTGGCATGCCAATTCCAAAAGAATGAGTCATTGGAAGAATATTATTTAGTTTTCTTATTTTTTTTATGGCAAAACTACTAAGGATATATATACTACTGTCTCAAACTTTGAGCTGCCGACAAACAGGACGGAAAATGGCCAGCAGTACCCACTGCCAACTCTTGGGCTATTTTTTTACCAACAAATAGTGGGATTGGCCATAACATTATAATGCCTTCATGGTTGATAGGGAGAGCATGTTTATTACAAAGGTTTAATCCTCAGACTAGTCGATTGCAAATCAATTGTCCTAACTACCAGGCCATGATAGGCCTTTAAACTTCTTCTACAATCAATTAAATATATTATTTTTTGAGTTCAGTTTTATTGAACAAAGATTGAACTCAAGCTGATTCTTCATTTATATCTTCAGGATTATCTTGAATTGGATTACACTTACAGACTTTACTTCATAGCTAACAATTAGTAACAATTTCACAAAATGAATGCTCCATATTAATTACTCTCATAGTGTAAAAGTAATTATTTTAAAGTTCTCAGCTAGTTTTACTGATAAAAAATTTTTCTTTGTAAACAGAACATGAAATATGTTATACTATATATATATATATTTTCATGCACAGTATCATTTTGAAAACTAAACATTTTACCTTAATTCTTTCTTGACCAGTTATATTCCTTGGAGTTGAACAGAAAAATTTTGGCATTTAGCATAACAAGTTAATCCTTCATGTTTAAAAAGGGTATTAAAATAGATACTTTTGGATTACTTTCACTGACTTTTCTCTGATGAACTGCATTTCGTGAACATGCCAGTGCTAAGTGTGCCAATTTACTATAAATATTAATAGTTTGAAGGCTAATATGTGCAAGGACTAACAGAAATGTTTTATAGCATGCAGAACACTCTGTACTGTATGAGTACACACAATACCTCAGTTAATAAGTTTTTCTAAGATTTGTAAGCACACATGATTATGAAACAAAAAATTTACCGGCAACTGATATCTCTCAGCTCCAGCATAGGCTAAAAAAGGATCCTGATAAATACCTCTGTAAAATATAATACAATACATTAAAAACAAGTCCTTGCATTTCACATCTGAATCTAGTTCCATTACAAAATACTTAGTTTTTATTTTAGTATTCCGTGTGGATAATCAAAAACAAGGTCAGCAAATTCAAGCAGTCAAAAAAAAAACACGAAAAACTTAACCAAAGCTTAAACTTATAAATGTGTAATTTGTCATCTATTTATGACAATTCTCCTAGTTTATATAAATTTAAAAAAAATCTAAAAATGTTTAAATAACTTTATTGAAAAGAAATACCAATGCAATAATTTTTGAAAAAATTCTGAATCAAACTAATTATTAATAAATGATTATTTAAAACAGGAATGTTAATTTTTTCTGTTGTCCATAGGTTGCACTGTATCATTTTCCACAATATGATTGTTTCTTCTTAAGTAACATAATTGTATAAACAAGGATGGCTATCCATTTAAGTAACCAGGATCACAACAAACTAAAATTGTGCAATAAATCCTGTCCAGAACAGTAAGACAGAAAAGCCTTTGAAGTGGAGCACTGCTAAAGCATCCACAAATACAATAATTATATTTAAAACTGCCTTCATGTGGTCGCACTTCACACATATAAACCAGTAACATTTTTAATTCCATGTCAAAGTTTGATGACAACGGTTCTGAATCAAACCATGTATAATTTTTAGATCCATCATACACATTATGTATGCAAGAAATGGAAAAATGCACAATTTTAGGCATGTAATCAGATCCGAGTTAAGACTGGCAAAGAGTCTATGTAAAATGAAAGGAAAAAGGAGAAGAGGCAGGTAGAAACTTGCTTGGCTTAATGATTTGTTTGTTTGTAATTAAACACAAAGCTACACAATGGGCTATCTGTGCTCTGCCCACCACGGGTATCAAAACCCAGATTCTAGCATTGTATGAGACATACAGCTGTGCCACGTGGGGGGGGGGGGGGGGGGG